GTCTATTTACTTGTGACCACTCAGTGTATAGTGTGTGAAACACTGCGTTTAGCTCTGAAATTTAATTATTTTTCAAGCTTTGACACAGTTAATATTATGTTATGGTGCCTATGTACACAACATAAACTTGATTATTTTAGCAGAGCCCTCTAGTTTCAAAAGTATAAATTTCACATATGACAATTGATTATACAAAAGTAAAACTTTATGTACCAAGTGTTTTGTGGAATAAACTTGATATAAAAGTTAACGAATTCACGTTTTTCCAAGTTAGATAACATCAGAATAAAACATTAACTTCCAAAAATGTAAACGCAACAGGGTTTCTTAACTGAATTTGTTGTGGTGAAATGTCGCTGAATTTTGATATCTTCTGACACTACCTGTACTTTGTACATAAAATATGAGCTCATCACCACCTTGCAGGATAATTGTAATCGGTTGCATTTATATTATTACGGAGCTTTAACTACAAACTCGGTAAAGTCCGGGGTTCAATTCCCCGCGTTGGACAGAGCCTAGATAGCAAGCCCACTGTGTAGCTTCGCGTTAAAAATAACAAGTTTAGTTTTATTAGTAATGTAAATACTATTTTATATTAACTTTCTTTTTTTTAAAACTAGAATCATTATAATGTTTTCGTAACTCTATAATTTCTGCAAGAATGTGAAAAATGAACCATTTCAATTGTTTAGTAGAAGACGAAACTATGCACAGTAGTACCATGTTTACTGGATCTTCTAGCTTCAACAGTTGTAATCCTGGTTTGTTCTGAATTTCACGCGGGATATCTACACTAGCCATCTCTAATTTAGCAGTGAAAGACTAGAGGGAAGGCAGCTAGCCATCACCATCCACCGACAATTCTTGGGCTACTGGTTTACCAACGAATAGTGGGATTGACCGTCACGTTATAGCTCCCCCATGGTTGAAAGGGCGAGCATGTTCGGTGGGACGGGAATTCGAACCCGCGACCTTCAGATTACGAGTGAAGCGCCCTAACTACCTGGCCATGTAGATTTTGAACTGCAATAAATATTACATAGGTAGTTGTTCAACTCTACCACCTGGACCAGTCAGGAAAGACGTTACATAGGTAGTTGTTCACCTATACCACTTGGACCAGTCAGGAAAGACGTTACATATGTAGTTGTTCACCTATACCACTTGGACCAGTCAGGAAAAACGTTACATAGGTAGTTGTTTACCTATACCACTTGGACCAGTCAGGAAAGACGTTACTGTATTTGTACGAGCTGTGTGGATTTGTTTGTTTGTTCGCTGTTAAGCGGAGAGCTACACGCTGAGATATCTGTGCTGTGCTCCTCCCTCGGGTATCGAAACCCGGGTTTTAGCATTATAGGCCTTCAGACTTACCGCTGAGCCACTGTGGTAGGTGGTTGAGCTGTGTACAGAAATGGACGTCTAGTGTTTGACTGGTTGATTCAAATCATTCAAAGCAGAATGTGGTCGACCAGTAACCTAAACCTAATCACAAGATTGGAGATATATTTAATCTAAAGAGCATAGGTAAAAACCTACATTCCAGGCTATAGGGGCATAACATTCAACCAGAGAGTAGACCACCTTAGTAACTTGGCAAGTTATTCGAATGATGTGGTCAGTGAAATAGAAAGTAGCCTGAGTGAACAGGAAAAGATGGAGCACGGATCACACTGGTCATCTGGAAAAACTGGGGGAAAGAGAATAGCAGCGGAGCGAACGCGAACTTGT